CAGTTTTTTTTTATGTAAAAACTAAAATGACAAATCAGAAGCGAAAGTCAGATAAGGTAGTTTTTGTATAGTCGATTTTGCTAGCCATCCTAGAAATTTTTAACTATATAGCTTAAACAAATATGTAAATATAAATAATAAATATTAAACCTATAAATTATATTCCTTACTTCAAAAATGTTCTCAAGATAAAAAGGCACCCACAATTTCAAAAAGTTAAATGTTCACAAAATATCGAACCCCCTTTCGGATATTTTCTTAATCCTGTCTTTTACGGACTTACTTTTATCTGGTCCGACTGGTGATTGAGGTCTATGGGTATTTTGAGAGGCTCGTGGAAGCAGCATCCAGTGCACTTTGTTCCGCACATGTTCCCCGAACGCACTTCACCCAACGCACTCACCGAAACACACTGGCCCTCTTTTTGAATCGGACTCGACTATTTTTGTAGGTCCCACTGGGGGCCACTTTGTTACGCCCGACCAAATATAAGGGGGTCGAAACTGCTCCTGGCCCGATATCCTGCTTCGGCAATCTGATTGAATCGTCGTTCAAACGATAATATTTACATTTTCACGAGAAAGATGTACGAGGGGGCCTAGAACTAAGGATACAATCTATTTTTAGTTCATTACATTATACGTTTAACGAAGGATTTGATTTATAACGAGTTGCAACCTATAAAAGATAAACCTAGTTATAAAAAGTAAGACAACCAACAGATACATAAATAGCAATTTTGGTTTTAATGAATAAATAAAACATACAGTAAAAGATTCCCAATTAAAAAAACTCAACAATAAAGTCCCGCTGATTTGCTATTGGTATCCATTATCAAGTGTGATAAAGTTACGTAAATAATCGGCATGATGATTAATAATCAAGCTGTCAAAGGAAAAATATTCCCTATAAAAAACTTAGCATGTAATAAAAAATAATTTAATTAATGGAAAACATTATTGTATGTCATTTGAAAAAAATATTTTTCTCACATCCGGCTATCCCATTTCTTACAAGTAATTTTTTTTAAAAACCAAGATTCTCAGTTTCGTGGGTTTCCAATGTTTCCTTTCAGGAATGTGTGTCTTAACGAGAATTTATTAATGTTAATCCTACAACATTAGGTGAGTATAAAACCTACAGAGAAAATTATGAACTGTCGGTTTTCCAATTTACCATTAGTTTATGTTTAAAAAATCACGGAAAAAACGTAGGAAATGTCAGATTTCAGGGTTTCTTCCATAGATCTGATGAAATTTTGGCCAAAAACGAAGTCTCGAAACCATTTTTTCATTTATTAATTATTTAACATTAGACATTTTTTTAAAAAAAGACAGATTTCAGGGTTTGTTCTATGGCTTCCGATGATTTTTTTGAAAAAAAGAAAATGTTGAAACTTTTTTTTTCATTTCTTAATTAGTTATTGCAAAAAAGACAAGAAAACACGTAGGAAATGTCAAATTTCAGGGACTGTTCCGTAGATCTGATGAAATTTTGTTCAAAAAGAAAGTCTCGAAACCATTTTTTCATTTATTAATTATTTAACATTAGTCGTTTAAAAAAAAGTCAGATTTCAGGGTTTGTTCTATGGCTTCCGATGATTTTTTCGATAAAAAGAAAGTGTTGAAGCATTTTTTTTTCATTTCTTAACTAGTTATTGCAAAAAAAAAAAACAAGAAAAAACGTAGGAAATGTCAAATTTCAGGGACTGTTCCGTAGATCTGATGAAATTTTGTTCAAAAAGAAAGTCTCGAAACCATTTTTTCATTTATTAATTATTTAACATTAGTCATAACAAATGAAAGAGATTTCAGGGTTTGTTCTATGGATTCCGATTTTTTTTTTTTTTTTTTTTTTTTTTGATAAAAAGAGTGTTGAAACATTTTTTTTCATTCCTTAATTAGTTATTGAAAAAAAAAAACAAGAAAAAACGTAGGAAATATCAAATTTCAGGGTCTGTTTCGTAGATCTGATGAAATTTTAGTGGAAAAGAAAGTCTCGACACCATTTTTTCATTTATTAATTATTTACGATGTGTTATGTATATATATATACATATCACTTTTTGTTGTCTTTGTTTTATATATATATATAAAACAAAGACAACAAAAAGTCTAGAAACAATTTTTTTCATTTCTTAATTAGTTATTACAAAAAAGACGGGAAAAACGTACGAAACGTCGGATTTTAGGGTTCCAGAGGCTGGATGAACGGATGAGGAAGGAATGACTGAAAGCAGTGATTCTGTGTTTAGGAGGATGGAGATCATAAGAGCTAGAACGACTATGACTGTTGTGGACCAAAGACCTAAAGGTAAGGAGATCAAGGAGGGTAGTGGGGAGATATTGTTCCGTGAAGGAAGGATCCAAGGTAGCCTATGGTGGAAAGGGTATAATCCCTACATATCAGTCACGTGAGACCTCCTTGGGAAGCCGAAAATAAAGCGTACAAAAACAATTCGTTTAAACGCTTAAGTCTATGATCCAGCTCTCCAATGAGTCTCCAGTACACCATACATCCATAGTCAAAGTATGGAAGAATATGGGTGGAAACTAGGAGTTTACGAGTACTAATGGGAAGAAGGAACTTTTGGAGAATGGAAAAGCAGCGGCGGGATATCTGGGAAATATACGGTTTTCAAGACAAGGTCCGGTTTGGTTCTATCCCAATGTTCTTGATGGTGGGAGAGGAAGAAATTCGGAGGGAACGAGATCCAAACTCAATGGCTTGAGTCTTTTCTACATTAAGTTTAAGCCCATTTTTAGTGGCCCAAGAAATAATTGAATTTGTACAATCGCAGCTTGTAAGTACTAAGTGTGAAAGGTAAATTTTTGGAGTCGACTGCTTAAAGATGGTAGGAGCAATATTTTACGGAATTAAGAAAGTCGTTAATGTAGCAACAAAAAAGAGAAGCAGAGGTAATCCTTTAGGGACTCCAGAAGTTTTAGGTTGGGGAGAGGATGAAGGTTTATTTGGGATGGATACTGCTTGGGAATGATCTGAAAGGTAGGATCGAAACCAACTGTTTTGACTTTCGCAAGGAGAAGGGAATGATCTACTCTATGGAATGCTTTGGAGAAGTGCAGGAGAACAAGAATTGTAATTTTACATTGGTCAATAGCTTTCTGCATGTCAGTCAGTTTTAGGACATTGTATAGAAAAGCCAAGACAGATTAGAGAGGGGTACAAGGAGATTTGAGGTTTCTAAATAGGAAGACATTTGTAAATTGATTAATTTTTATTCCCAAGTAACAGCCAAAAATCTAACCGAATGGGGCTCGGAGGTTAATGGCACTTGCAATCAGAATGGAATAGTAAATATAAATCTAAGCGAGAAAACACTAATAAAACAATTGTACACCGGAATATGTTGAGAATGTGTGATGAATGAAGATGAAAACCCTAGTAGGGTACGAGTAGGCAATTACGAAGCCGATATTAATGCGGGAACAGAGACCATTAATTAGATTATTTTTACGATAAAGGTCGTTCGTCGGTTGGCACGTGAAATACAGGTAAATTTAGAAACGGGCCCTTCACCATTGTCACAGTGATAATAACTTCTCGAACATTAACATTTATCTGTTAACACTAGCTGCAAGGCTGAACGAGCTAAACTCTCACTTCAAAGTAGCTTGAATTTAGATCACAGGAACTGACTAATAATTTAGCAACAAATTTGGATTCATGCATAATTCCATAATTTAAAATATTTTCGATGATTAAAATTTAACGAAAGAGAAACAAATGATTAATAAACTATCTTGTTTTGACTTTTGTCTGGTTTTTATTCATATAAATCTAGGCTTATAAAATGGTCCCTCGGGGTGCCGGTGTTACTGAAAAAAAAGCCTGAAAAGTCTGGATTCGAACCCGGGACCTTTACCTTACAGTGATGCCCGCCGGGTCAACGCCTAAAACGCTGAAGCCACCTATGCCCCCAAAATTATTTTAAAAAATTAAGCATAGAATCCAATAAAAATATTATTCTTGAAAAAAAAATGAGAAATTTAAAATTACAACATAGTGCCAATGCTGGCAAACAGGCAATCAGTGTGAGGTATTAAGGGGCAAGGAGATCTCCAGGTCATCGACGTCATCTCCGGATGTCGGGATGGAAATGTGTAGAGAGGGCTGAGCAGTAGTGTTAGGATGGATCAGTTGACAAAAGGTTGTTGAGGTGTTCTGGATAGTGAGATTAGTGAGGTAGTAAGCACCTTTGTAGCAAGTAGCAAGCATCTCTGAGGACTTTTGATTGGAAGGATTGGATGGCTTGGGAGAACCCCAGTTCCGCTCCGTATGTCCAAAGTGGTCGTTGGCAATCAGTGTTAATGGGCAAGGTGGTCTCGAGGTCATCGACGTGGCAGGTTCTCGGATGGATGTGTTAGGATGGATCAGTTGACAAAAGGATTGTTGAGGTGTTCTGGATAGTGAGATTAGTGAAGTAGTAAGCAACTTTAACGATATCTGTGAGGACTTTTGATTGGAAGGATTGGATGGCTTGGGAGAACCCCAGTTCCGCTCCGTATGTCCAAAGAGGTCGCAGTAAAATATAAGGTTAATCTAGTGTTGACGACCAAAACGTATTTCGGTCCTAGAAGTATTCATAGTTATCCAAGTCTTGAGTGGCGATGCCACGTCAGTCTGCTAGGTGTAGTATGTGATTTGAATGAAAATCAGTATCTTTGTTGTTGTATACAGTAAAGAATGTTTTTTCAAATGTGAACGTACACTTAGAACATATTTTTCAGTCAGTCTTGACCTCCCCTTTTTGCATAGTCTTCGATAAGGTAAAGCTGTTCTTGGATAGGATCGAGTTAAAGGATAAAATTGCGTGGTGATGATGGTATTGGCTGTATAAGTAGATTAGCAGTATAAATGATATAAAGAATGTATATGTGTGACTTTTCGCTTGCAATATAGAAATACGTAAAATAAGATTTACCATGCGGAGAATTTATTGTTCGGTACCTATAAAAGAACTTAATTTTTAGACTAACCGGCAGGACGGTGCATTGTCTATGAAGCGGGACGAGAGGCCTTTCGGACTTAGGCCTGGTCAGGTAGTAGATCGATGCAGCTGCTATCCCTGTGATGAGGATGACCGTCGTCGACGTACCCCAATCCTCCATCGCCCACAACTGGAATACACATCTCAATTCATAAAAGCAACAACGACATAAAACAAAAGCAAAAATACACAAAGAACTATCGGTCTTTCCAAACAAATCTCTGCCTGGAAGTCTGTATTTCAGGCTTTGCTGTTAGTTCATGCAAAAACAATAGCATTACAGCGTAAATTGTTCCCCCAAAAAATTAATTATATAATTAATTATTCAATTTATAAATTAAATTAGCCATTTAGCTCTGCAGACAATCGTTCTCGACAATATTCCGTGGAGATTCGACTGTTAGTCTAATTTGAGAACTATGTAAGCTTGCAATGAAAAAAAAATGTAACCCCCCGGTTCACCGTGAATACATCCCTTCACGACTTAAATTTTTTTCACCCCTTACAAAAGGGAAATATAAAATAAAAGACAGAACAAACGAGAATACCAACCAGCTAATTAATATACTTTTCATTTTATATAATTCAAAATATAAAAGCAATATTAAAATAAAAATATTATTATTGTATTTAGCGGGAGGGTAGTAAACTACTTAACGGGGTAGCGGACGTTGTTCGGACAAACAAATGGGATTTTTCCTATTTTTTGTTCAATCACTTTTCTAAATGTTGATTTTGTTCAGCATTTCTTCTTCAGAAGAGTGTAGTTCTCTTTAAGCCTCAAACTCTGAAATTGTATCAGTATTTTTGCAATTTGCCTTTTGGTTGATTAAAGAGAGTCCAAAAATTATCATTTATCAAATATTTTGTCTATTATAACCAATCCTTTTTTTTAATGTAATTCTTGGTATAGTACGTATTTGTAGCTAGAAGCTTTTAAAAATAACGGATCATTGATTTTGGGTAAAACACCTAAAGTTCTGACAAAATTTTACAACTTTTTTATATGAAAAAAAAATATTTTCCGCATCTGGGTGGTTTATAAAACGACTCTTGGCTGAAATTGTTTGACTATTATTACTCTACGAAATTAAAAAAGCATATGGTCAATATGATGACAAGTTTGAAAGGAATGTGTACCGAAATGTGAAAAAATAAATTTTCCAGGAGATTTGCTGATCAAGATGGAATTATTACCACTGATGACTAATTTACGCCATAAAAACCCTCCTTACACGAGGGACTTGATGGACTATGCTTTTTGATTTGTAGACTTAGAATATATGTACATAAAAAACGTTTCTAAACAGCATAAGGGATGGCGAGCTGCAAGTTCACCAAAAAAAAATTTCAAGCTGAAGCAAGCTAACAAAGGGTGTTTTCTGGGTGACCTAACGTATTTGGATTTGGATATACATAACCTCAAATCTGCACAAGAATATACACATGTACAGAGTTGAGCCAATCACTTCCATCAGTCCACCTGCAATTCCAGCTTTTGCAATTTACGATAAATTACCGGCTGTGTCGAGGTGTTGGCTCCGGGGTCAGAACTCTGTCATCCGTCGAGCCACCAAGTTCCGGATGGTATCAACAGCAATTCATCTAATTGAACAATTCAGCACCCAACGCATGCAGTTCCTAGATCCAAACCCATTCACACTCTCAATTATTCTTAAATAAATTCTTTCCTATTTACATACCATGGACTCAATTTAGTGTACTCGATATTCCTCCACCACCCCTATTTTATAATTAACTGATTGAGTTTAGGTTCGACACATGGATTGGACCACCACCATGGAATGGATAGTGTACTCAAAGGGGATTGCCTTTAAAACCCTCGGAAAAATCAGAGATAGGCCCTTGAGCACGAACAGCCAATTCCATCGAAAGCTTGGCTTACGTAGAGAAAGACCCCTGAGCAGTATTTCACCATCGGCTCTTTCGCGCTAATAAATACATTCATTCTCAACACAAGTTAGGGGCGCAAAACTGTCATTACTATGTACAATAAAAAAAAGATTTATTCCTCCGAGAATCGGAACAAAGGCCAGATACTCAAGCACTCGCGTTCCTACACGCTCTTTATAAGGAGCCAAGGAATTGCACCCTTTAATCAGGTAGGAAACATCGAGCGACCTTTCCCTAAGTGAAGTATAGTATTTGATTTCCTATCGGCGTTATCGGTTGCCTAAAGACTCAGCCGTATTTTAACATTGGATTTTATATAATTTCCTTTATTTTCATTGAACCAACCAATTTTTTTTTTTTTAATTAAACAACTAAAGTCATGTTTTCTCGCTAGATATATAATATCATAAAACTTTAATTTTTTTTATCCATATATGTTAAGCGGTCAGAATTGATTTTTATCTAAGGTCTTAGTTGAGGTGAAAAGTTAGTGTCGCGAGCGGGTTCACTTAGAGAAAGGTCGGTCGATGTTTCCCAACTGATTAAAGAGTACAATTCCTTGGCTCCGTATAAAGAGCGTGTAGGAATGTAACGCGATATTAGTTTTATAAACAACTTCAGAGAGCTCAACTTAAACTCAAACCACGTCAATAAATCGCAAGGAGAAAACCAAAAATACTACTCATTTTGCTCATGGATAAACAAGAAAACAAATTGATAAGCGAAACATGCAAGCTGGCTGCTTTTTAAGCCTGTAGTACAAACTGCCAAAAGAAAATTCTTACTAAAAAGTTTTTCCGTTCAATCTCCATTAGACTGACGCCTAGCGATTTTGTCAATCTTGCTGATATTTAACAGCATGCCGCTGAAACACTGGAATTAAGACAATCAACTTTTTACTCGGTCGATTTGTCATCATAGGAAATAAATTATAAATAGTTCAGATTTTTATTTTCCCTTAAAACTTTGTATGGAATCAACCATACAACACTTGTAATTTTTTTTAAATTAGAAGTTGTCATGAATAATTTATGTAAAAAAATATAATAAACCAAGGACGTGTTTGGTACATAGGTAGAATAAAAATATAGGTTAACCTAGAAACGGTTATTTTACTATATAAGGAAAAAATTTAAAATTTACCTCTGGGTTCAGAGAAGACATAAAATCAGTTGTGAAAAAGTTGTCCTGTTATCGTTAAAACGTAAAATTTCCACAAGTGTTTTTCAAGTTTTTCGTCGCATCTCAGAAAGCAAGGTTTGATTTGAGTAAAATTGATCCGTCGCAAAACTGAGCCGGGTTCAAACTGAAAGTATACATCGTCCACTGTCGGACCTTGTGCGCGCAGAGATAAACAAAAGATACAATATCCAAATAAGACAAACATTCGCAAAGAGAAATTATTTCTTAAAAAACATAAACAATGTTTTCGGTGGTTCTTGATCATCTGTTCACTCATTTTAATTAGAAAATTTTGTTTTGCATTTTGTTTTAAAATATCAATATGATAACGTTGGTCTATTTCTAGTATTTTATTTTATTGCGTACAAAATATACATTGAGCAAATAATTAATATTTATGAAAGTTATTGGTCGAGATAAAAAAGTCAGCGTCACGAGCGGGATTCGAACCCACGATCTTCGGTTAAATACGCCGCTGCTCTACCACTTGAGCTATCGTGACTTCGATCCGCTCGGGCACCAACTTCCCATCTCTTTTATTTAATTGGGTGGCTTAAAGTTAATTGGGTGAGTTAGATAGAAGGTAGTTAGATAGGTATCCTAACGGGCCATTGCCCCTTGAGAAGACACTTCTTCATAATGGGTACTCTACCAGACCCCTTTTGCCGCTTCTGTGAAACATAGGAAGAAACGGCTCGACACTACCTTGCAGAATGCGATAGGTATGCTAGGGAAAGATTTGAAACTTTCGAAGGAGAGGACATAACCAAAACAATCCCCAAGATAAAATGGTCCAAAATCTTGGGGTTTGTGAATAGGTCCAAAAGGTTTATGCATGACTCGTGAGCCGACAGGTCCTGGACCTTTTAGGGATGGGGTACGGGCCTACGTAGGCTTTTAACCCCTCGGGTCCTGGTCACCCGCCCTGCGTAATATATATATAGAAGGTCATGTGACCTCGTCATTAGGATTGTAAGGGTGAGACGTTGAGGGAAGAGTTAGGGCTAGTGGGTTAGGTTGGAAGGATAGTTTAGAGTAGAAAGTGAAGAAGCGTGTTCGGATAAGATCTTTCACGAAAGCGATTTTAAAATCTTTATGGATCGTTTGATTGGTGACATAGAAGGAAGCATTGAGGATACGGCGGAGAACTTTAGATTGAAAAGATTGAATTCGTTGGATATTGGATGATTTGGCCGAGCCCCGCAGCTCGACTACATAAGTCCAAATAGGTCTGAAGAGTGTTTTGTAAGCGGTTAGTTTGTTATGTATGCTTAGTGTTGATTTTGGTCCAAGTAGTCTCAGTCCATATATTTTGTTAACTTGCCGTTTTAATCTTATATGTGGTTTCCATGTAAGTCTACTATCTAAGTAAAGCCCAAGGTAGCGGACTTGGTTCGATGGTGGTATTATCTTGTAGTAAATGTGCACTGGTGGACAGGTTTGACGTTTGAGCGTAAACGTAATTTGTTGAATTTTTGCTCGTTCAATCTGATCCGCCACCGATTGCACCAGTCGATAATGAGGTTCAGGTGTTGCTGGAGTGCTTCTGTTGCTAGGATAGGATTGGAGTGTGCTGATAAGATTGCGGTGTCGTCCGCGTAGGTTATGAGTTGTGTGTTTGGATGTGTGGGTATGTCAGCAGTGTAGATGGTATAAAGGAGTGGGCCTAGGATACTTCCTTGAGGAACGCTAGCTTTGATTGGCGTGATAGGTGAAAAATCAGTGCTGATTCTTACTTTAATCTAAAGACTTTAGATTTAAAATTAAAATATATTTCTAAAATAAATAAATCAGCGATAAACACCAAAAGATATTACACTCACCTTCAAAATTGGTTTGTCGGGTAGTATTAATAATCAAAGAGCTTACATCAACTTTCCAAATGACATAAGCATATAAGTCGAGTTATTTACGTTTAATTTTATATTTAAAAAGGAGCCACTCAAGACAAATACATGTCTTCCTCGCCAATTAACCTTTGGATGCGATCCAATTGTTAATACTAAAAGAAGTATTGTGAGAAATCTAGAGCCCTGAGATAGTTTTACTTATAAGGCTCTGTCCAAGGAATATTTTCTTTGGTAAACATCAGAACCTTAAAATTTTGAACGTTACGAAACTACGTTCATAAAAACATAAATCGACTCAACAACAATGTTCAGGCCCAAGATTGAAACTATCATGTATTATCGGTTCATAAAAATGACAAGAACGCTGTCTAATTACTAACCCATGATATGCACTCTTATGAAAAAGATGATGATGATGATGGACGGAAGTGTTCTCCAAACAATGCAGCTTTTTTTATTATCGGTTCATAAAAATGACAAGAACGTTATGTCTAATTAGTAGCCCATGCTATGCACTCTTATGGCAAAGATGATGATGATGATGGACGGAAGTGTTCTCCAAACAATGTAGCTTTTTTGGCTTATTTGACTTTCCTTGTACTTTGATCTGTGCAATCGACTCGATCCTTCTCCCAAAATGATGATAATTAAGACTATTTAATGGGGGGTTCTGTCCTTCTCCTATGATGATTATGATAATGAACGGAGACTTGAAAATGGGGTTTACAGTTCCTCAAGCCTTCTTTTTATGGGTACTATGTAATTTACTGTCTTTGGTATAATTCCTTTCCTTGGGTTTACTTTGCATCCCAGGTTGTGTTTATTGCTGTTTCTTCCTCGTCATAGCATAACCTACAAACAGGGTCATCGATGAATATGCCTAGTGAGGATGATTTCTCACATATCAGTGACCGGTATATCTTTTTACTTCTCTGAGATTTGTCCTCTCTAGCTGTAGCGTGAGTTTGCCTGTCTTAGCGACTTACTGGAAAGACTTATGGACTCGTTTATTTCCGAATCGTTCAGCTTAATTTATTAAGGGAAGTTCGTATACTTTTACAGGGAGATTTTATTTTAAACGCTGTTGAATCTGGCATATCGTGAATAAACACATTCTTCTTGATAAATTTCCTCTAGTAATCATTCCTTGCTGGTTTGATTCATGCCTAATAGATCATCTGCTATCTGATCCTTATTGGGTGTTCCTCATCTTTTTGATGTGATAAGATGTAACATAACGTACATCAAGCATCTAAGTGTGCAGAATTTGATCACCAGTGAACCCAAGGAAAAGAATAAAACCTGTTTCGTGTGTATTTATAAGCGTGAATGTGTAGTACAAGAATGTCGATGGCAGAATGTCAAGTACGACTTGAATCTTCCTCTACTGACTGAATGGTATTCATTTAAGAATTTTTCAGGTTAAAAATGTATTCGTAGGTGGATGAAGTAATCTTATTGATTAGGTTTGTTACTTGCCGGTAGTCTGGATAAGACCGAGGTCAACTGACTACCAAAACACGGAAATGGATGCACATGTGTTCACATAATCATCTTAAACGTTTTTAAGAAATTAAACAAACGATTTTAAACTACTATTACAACTTTTTTTTTAAATTACACTGAAGTAAGGAACAAAACACAGGTGTTCAACGAATAATATTTACCCTGCGCACAAAAGCCAAGTCGCATTGAGTGAAGAATTTTACCGAATCTATTTACCTAACCTTTTTACGATTGAGTCTATTTATTCATAGCAAACAGTAAATAAATTTTAAGACGTAACTATACCACAGAAAAAATTATGGGAACTGTAGGTAAATTACAACGGATCTATCTACAGTTCACTAAGTACAATGAAAAATAGAAGTTTCCTTTTGTTTTTTTGCATAATAAGCTATAGTTTTCTTTTCTTAAATTGGACCTCTGAATAAGACAAAACTTTTTTTTTTTTTCAAAAATCCACGTTAACTATTCAACTTACTATTCAGAGCTCGTATCGTCAGTTACGTAAAGCGGCGATCCGATATGAACACGTAAAAACGCCCAGGGCGTAAATTCTTACACGTCTCGCGATGTGACGGGGACTTGGAAATTACACTGAGGTAAAAATATAGCCACCCTCGTTTTTTAGTAAATACTTGCAATCGTAAGCAATTAAACTGAATAAAACAATTTTACCAAAAATGTTGCTATGAAGCAATGAAGAAAATATTCAATTCAATACGAAGTATTTCATCCTCTTGCGTTCACCGCTTGCATTCGACGTGGCATCGATTTTATGAGGTTTTGTACGTGGTGCTTTTGCAATATTTTTATACTCCTCCAACAGCGCCATTCTTACTTCTTACAAATTCTCTAGCATCGCTGAGTGACTACCCTCTTTGACAACTCGTCCTAAAGGTGTTCGATATGGTTGGACTATATGCTGGCCAGTCCAAGCCCGTTCCAAGTACTCAACCAACGATTCTAGGTACTTGGCTTGCCATGCAATAAAAATAAAACAGTCGCCAAGTATTGGCAGGAACAACTTCTAATAACACATCTTCAATATTTCATTTAGCTGTTAGAGAACCCCGAACGGACCAAATATTGTTACAAGAGAATCAATGCAGGACTATCGGAGAATAGATAATCTGAGGAGATAATTAAAAATATCGAATAATTAAATATATGTGGTGTGTGCTTCACAGTTGTTCATAATTTGTTGAAGTCGTGAGGAGCGGTCAAGAATGAGATAGTTTAGAAAAATACCTTTTTAATTTTTTGCCGACGTTTCGACCTTTATTCGGGTCATCTTCAGGGCCTGAGTAAATTAGAAAACCTATGTTGATTGAAAAA